ATTTCCTTGATCTGAAAAATAATTTTTTAAATTTCTTTTCTTTTTTCTTTACAATTTCAGGTGAAAAATTATCTTTTTTAACAGATTGAGGAAATTCTGTTTGTTCAGATGGTGGTGTGGTACTTAAAAAATCTTTTATCTTCTTTGTCGTCTTTTATCTTTTTTGAATATTCTTTTTCTTTATCCTTTTTTATTATCCTTTTTCTTTATCTTTTTTTTTTTTTATCGTCGCCTTCTTTATCTTTTATTATCCTTTTTTATTATATTTTTTATCGTTTACCAGTAAAGAAGAAAGAATTGATAATGATAATATCATTGGATGAAATTTTGAAATATAAAAAAAAAATTTTTTTTAATTTTATTATTATTATATTAATTAAGATTATTTATTATTAAGATTATTTATTATTAAGGTGAATGATTGAAAAATTAAATTAAACTGCATGAAAGTTATAAAATGTACATGAAACATAAATAGTATTAGTGCATCAAGTGTGTATGCAGTTAATTTTCCCACAATAAAACTAATACTAATTAAGTAAATGTTTTATTTTCATGACTAAATGTGAGCCTCTCAACTAACGACAGAATCTTTTTAACCAAGCCACTACGGATTCCATCGAAGCCTGTGAGGCTTAGGATAATTTATTAGTGGTTTTGGAAGAAATGTTTGACTGATTGAGGCTTTGCACAACCAATATTATTATTATTATTATAGTTATTATTATTATTGTTATATTTTATATTTTAATTTTTATTATATTCATTATTATTTTTTTCTTTTTATACAAAACAAAATCATATCAAAAACGTGACATCAAAAAATGAGATCTAAATGCTCTGTTATGAATATAATGTTAAATGAGAAAATGCAATTATAAAGAAACAGGTTACCTATTTTTATTTTTTATTCTTTATTTATTCATTTTTATTCTCATTCTTTTCATTCTGTTCACTCTGTTCACTCTGCTCATTTTGTTCTCCCTGTTCATTCTGCTCATTTTGTTCTTCCGGTTCTTCATTCTGCTCTTTATCCTCAAAAATACTTTCGATATTATATTTTTTTAATCTTTTATAATCCGATAAAACGCTCATACCACATATATTCTATTACATTTAATGTGAATAAATTTTTAATAATTTTAATAATTTAATAATTAAAAACAAATAACAAATAATAAATGAATAAATAAATAAATAAATAAATAAAATTTACCTTAAATATTTCAACAATAATTACCAAGTCCGGATCATCAAGGTTAACAATATGATCATCACCAACTAATCGAGCTATCGTAGTGATTAATTTCATTCTTTCAATATTTTTATTATTTCGAATATTCGGAATAACAGCATACTTATTAATATTTAAAATATTTTTTAAAGGATGATGATGAATTGGGATAAATCATTTCAAAGTAAATAGAGATATGATAAATAGAGACATAATAAAATAGAGATATAGTAAATAGAGATATAGTAAATAGAGATATAGTAAATAGAGATATAGTAAATAGAGATATAATAAATAGAGATATAATAAATAGAGAGATATATATGTATAATAAATGATAATAAAAAAAATAATAATAAACGAATGACGATAAGATAAATTTAAAGACCTTGATTTTTTTTTGTTGATCTGGTGGTGCATGAAAATGGGGTTTTAAAATCTCTTCGGCTAATTTATTGATATCATTCATATTTGCATAACAGGTTTTTGTAATTGGAACAAGTCGCTTACAAAATCTTTATATAGAATTAATTTTTTTTTATTATATATTTGATATATATGTGTGTGTAAATTAATTAATTTGTAAATTATATTATAAATTAATTAATTTGTAAATTATATTATTAATTAATTAATTTATAAATTATATAATAAATTAATTAATTTGTTAATTTTATTTTAAATTATATTATATATTAATTAATTCGTTAATTTTATTGTAATAATTAACAAAAGAAAGTAATTATAATAATAATGTATATATTAATTTACCTTGTCTTTTTCTTTTTCGAAATGCTTAAATCATTTAAAATATGATGAATTAAATTAACCGGATCAACAGGTGAACTTGTCTTAATAAACACAACTTGATAAAAATGATAAAAAAATATAAAAATTTTATAATTTAAAAAGGTAAAATAAAAATAAAAATAATAAATAAAAATAAAATAAAATATTTAATATTAATATAAATACCACAATGTGTTCCAGTCTGAATTGAAGCAAATCGATGTGAAGTATGAGATTTTCTCATTTGTGCTAATTCTTTTTCAATAGAAGTTTCAACATCTTCATTCTTATTATCTGATCTTTCTTCTTCTTCTTCTTCTTCTTCATTATTAACAACATCTGTTGAATCTTCTGATTTATAAATCTCTTCACTATACTATTATCAAATTACCAGAATTATTATTATTCTTATTATTATTATTGAAAATTATGATAAAAAGTATATATATTTGATTATATTTATAATATGTTTAGTTACCGCATTAAAAAGATCATAACATTCTCTTACACAAAATGCTTCTTTAGATTTCGCACAACTAACAAAAACTCCTGAAATATTTGAATCGAGTGTGCTTACTTTCTTATAATATTGTTTATCTAAAAATAATAAAAAAAAAAAAATTAAATTAAATTCAAAAAAATAATATAAAATAATATCAAGTTAAAAATCTCAAGTTAAATTAAAAAAAAAACAGGTTAACCCTTATGCTTTTTAACATTTCTTTCATCACCAATAATACTATTAGAACGTTTTCGAGAATTCGACATAATGAAAATTTTTCTAAATAAATGAATTGATTGATTGATTGATTTGAATGACTAAATGACTAAAAATAATGATTAAAGTTTTTATTAAGGTTATTCAGATTGTTACACATCATATTAAGAAAATCCAGAAAATCAAATAATAATAATTATTAGTTAATTATAGTTAATCTAGTTTCAATAACAGTTAATGCATTCTTTAAATGCAAGTTTAATTGTAATAATTGTAATA